GTTTAAGCAGTAGAAAATATTAAGAGTAATTAAACAGCGGCAAACTGAAGCTTTCCTGTACATTTATGGACATTATTATTGCGAAATAGTTTGTTCATTCAATATTCAACGTCTCTATAATTGAAAGTTGGATTTTATCCAACAAATAGTTTTTTTTACTTCATTACTTGACTTTATAATTTAAAATAAATTTTTGTTACATACAAATAATGAATAACAGTTAATTAGAGCATATTTTGGCTAATTAACACAAAAATTCAGATCCCATTATTCGAAGAAACTAAAATGACTGTGATAGGAGCTGGCGTACGTGTGTAAGTACAGTTCACAGATAAGATTCGAATACACAGAAGTAAAATTGGAAACCCAAGTACACAGAAATTCAACGCACACTGATAATATCATCAACCAAAGTAGCAACAGTCCAACAATCCTCAGAATTAGCTGCTTACCGACGGTATTCAAAATAAAAGCAGCGCATTGCAGTACAACAACTTCACCAAGAAATGAGGGAAATTACTTAATGTATGCCCTAGAGAAGAACGGTTATTCCCGAAACTTTATCAGAAGATACCTATCCCGTGCGCCACCAACTACAAAGTCATCCACAGATATCAACAAACCCATCATCCTACGACACAATGAACACATCAGAGATAATGACAAAATTACTAAGACCAATTGGAATTCGTGCAGCTCATAAAACACAACTATTATGCAGACAAATGATGCAACAACCAAACAAGACAAACCGAATATCATTTACAAAATCAACTGTGATCAACACTACGTTGGGCAAAGTTGTAACGCTCTTCGCCTTCGTCTACATGAACACCAACTGACTATTAAACGTCACGATATTCCATCACTCATTTCAATCCACGTGGATAACAAGTTTGGACATGAATTCAGTTTTGACAATGTAGAAATCTTGGAGGGAGAGAGGAAATACAAAAAATTTCAGAGAATTCCTAGAAGCTTGGTATTCAGGTCAGTCAGCAATCAGTAGATGCATAGACATAGACCCATTCTGCCAACCAATAACAGAAAGGTTAGAGGTCCAGGTGAGGAGAGGAACAGCTGACAAGAAAATCTATGCAGTCAATGACATAACAATCAGTGGAAACGACCAGTCACAAACCAGTTCGTCAGGGCAAGCTACTGAATCACTCACGCAGAGATACTGACAGCTCATTTCATACTGAATTTAATGCTGATGTTTTTCGGAAAGATAATGAAAGCTTCACAATTAAACAACCCAGCTCAGGGAACGTAACATAACCTAAATAAACAGGCAAATAAAATCCAGATGACAAGTTGTCTGGGAAATGACTGGATTGCAAGTACTTTGTATCGCAAGCTGATATCCATGCAAAAAGTGCCATAAGTTAGACCATATTCAGAAAGTAAACAATCCACACTCTCAACGCCAAAAATAGTCGACTACATAACTGCAAATCTTTTGGGGCTGAAAAATGTATCCATTTTTCCAGTTGCTCATATATTTTCAACTGCAGACAGATAAGAATTCAAAGTAGAACCTGGCACTTAAGTGCATCGGTTCAAGTTACCACACTTCACTGAAGGATGCAAGGAAAGAAGATGGAAAAAGAATGATATCAAAGCACACAAGGTGCATGATATGAGAAACAATTCCAAAATGAAGACCAACCAAAACAGTCACGTTTAAGAAGACGTCAAAAAGTGAATACATTTGTACTGTTGTGACCGATTTCTGCTGTCACCCAGAATTCTCACCCATTGATCCCTATCGTTTCGAGGGCCCCAGTCACTTGTAACTATCAAGTTGATATTTTTATATTTTTCTTATGTACACAGTTCTCCAATGACTGCAGTTCATTGTTAAAATAGGCGTCACTAAAATATGAATAAATATTAGCATTTCAGTCAAGCAAATAGAAGTGACTATGCACTTCTAAGGATACAGGGAAGTTGGCTTGTCACTTGTGTTACAAAAATATTCTCATTTGACTATTTGAGATAGACATAGTTTGGTAGACTAGTATTAATACTGGATGATGATTGAAGGTCCCTGAATCTCCAAAAGCCTTAAAACTAAATTACTATACAGTCCTGATCATTGAGATGCCTACAAATGAAATTTTGTGAAGTTCTACTGAGAAGTTGTGACCGGTTGTGCAAAATAATTTGGACATGAAGACAACTATTCAACGATGGAACTGGGTGAAGATCGCGACATATGGAGAACAGACAGAAACAGAAAAGTGTGGACTGCTGAATTCTGACACATTGGTTCAATGGTAACGTGCTCACCACGTTCTATAAGATATTCTAAATGCAAAATAGAGTATTCAATTCATCATGTTATACTGATCTCAGTGACTAGAAGAGGAATCCAGAAACCGCGTTCCATCCCGTTTTGAACTCATCAGCCGGATATACCTGAACCTCAGTGAGTGTTATTCCCAGTGAGGCTTGAACTTAGTACCTTTCGCTAAGCTACCTTTCTAAGCTAATTGGGTACGACATGCAGTTGTGGTTATGATACTGATATTTTCCGGTTGCTATACAGGGCCAAATCGCTCGATCATATTGCAAGGTGGGCTCGTTAGCTGACGAGCCCCAAAAAGGACGAAACGCGCGTCCTGGATTTCTCCGCTAGTTACCAAGATCAATATGACATCATGAATAACCAGGAGATTCGAGGCATCCCTATAGGAGCCCATTTGTCAACACAGGTTGAGCTATTCGGCCCTATATAGAAACGGGAAATCACAAGTATCAAAACAACAACAATATTTAATTCGTTACACCTAGTCTGGATGAAAGAATTCCCTAGGAATGCTTCTAAGAAGAGACGTTAGGGCATTACTTTCATTCTCTCACTGTGATTTGTTTTCATGACTTGTTAATACAGTGCGTCTAGGTAAAACATGGAAAGAATTCTAGTCCGCTCCTTACGTTTTCTATTCTGTTGATCGGTTATTTGCTGTCAAACAAAGACCCTCTATTTCAGTAACGCCAGACTTTATACTGTTCCTTTATTGTTCAGCTTGTTCTCTTATCTTGGAATTATTTGGCAAACGTTTAATTATCAGTTTTACTATCTGAGATAGCCGTGACTTGGCAGACTTGTATAGAGACTGCGTAATGATTAAAAGTAAAATCTTAACCACAGCAGATTTTAATTTCACTGCAACCACCAATATCTAATCGGCATCTGGGCTTCGTAGTTTAGTTAGTAGAGCAAGAGGCTGGCAACCTGGGAACTGCTACCCAGATTCCCATTTCACATTCAGTCGTCACCAAGTACAGATATTTATTTGTCAACTGACACTATGAAAAACGAAACATGACATGGAAATGAAAATTTTTGCTTCACCGACTTTTTCAAACTGAGAATTTTTTTAAAATTCTTCCTGATTAATCAAACTGTAAGAAACCTAACTAGTCGATATAACGGTGAGTGCATACGTCAAACTGGCAGACAGGGTTCAGTCAGATTACCAGAATTTAGATTGATAGACTCTAATAAAATGAGTAACCTAGAAGAGAATCCAATCATAGCTATGCATGCGATAACGCACAACTAAGAAACATGGTTGCATAGAGTTACAGCTATGGAGGTTGATTCCTGAATCTCTGTCAGTTTAACTCCTTACACGTGCAATCAATATGACACAACACCAATTCTGAATATGTGGGAAAGTTTTCTGTCAATTAAAACAAAGAAGAACAAATAACAGAACTATAAAAGGTTAAAGTAGAAGGTCGTGTGTTTACCTTGATACGATTATGGGCAATAAATTCCGCTCGAAACGCCAAATACCAAATAATACTACATTATAGTGGGTGCTACTGATAAGAATGGATATAAGTAGTATATGTCGGGAGGTAGGCAGAAGTCATAGACAATTACCAGCGATGGGTAAGTATTTTGCACAGAGAAATGCAAGAGACAGTGTGGGCGTATGAAGAGCAAGTCGAGATACGAGAAGAAGAGAAAATGAAGCACATTGTGCAAATGACCATTTGAATGGAAAGTGTACAATATATCGTCAGTACTGTACAAAATGTCATAATAAACATTCTCTTTTTCGCCTCAGTCTCTTCCTTACAATTGGTGTCACTGCTTCTGGAGGTAATGAAGATTCCGTTGCTTGCAAAGTTCGAGGATGGAGACATCAAAGTGCTTGGCACGTCACTGAAGGGTTGAGTGAAAGTGGCATATGACGGCGTGGGTGGGAAGATTTGGGAGAGGATGGTTGAAAGACTGGAGGCGCAGTTTGGCAGGCCAACGAATAGGGAGCCGGCGATGCAGCAGTTCCGGAGCACGAAACTTGGAATAGACGAAGATCCACTGGTATTGGCTGTGAAGTTGACAAAGATACTTCGACGAGTACTTCTGACTTTGGATGAGGATTCCTAAGCACAGTTGCTAGCTGCACAGTTTACCGAAAGTGTCCCGAGTGTTATCTTGGCAGTGACACCAATTGTAAGAAAGCGACAGAGACTGAGACGAAGAAGAGAATGTTTATTATGACATTTTATACAGTACTGACGAAATATTGTACACTTTCTATTCAAATGGTCATTTGCATAGTGTGCTTCATTTTCTCTTCTTCTCGCATCTCAATTTGCTCTTCATACACCCAAATTGTCTCTTGCGTTTCTCTGTGCAGAATATTTACCATCACCTACCTCCTGACACATACTACTTATATCCATTCTTATCAGTAGCACTCACTACAATATCTGTCGGATAGGCTAACCTAATATGACACTATATTCTACGTCTGAGCTCAAATTCTATACTTGCAATAATGAAAGTAGAATCATATAAATCCATATAGAGAATGGAGAGTTATTTTATCCACTCTTAATATCTTTGAGTATGAGTGTTCTTATCAAGTGGATTACAGATGTCCATTAGAAGGAAAAGAAGAATCATATTCGGTATGTTACTGGTGTAAATATACATCCTAAAAAGAAATTTTCATTTTATCTTTTTATTTCAGTGAAATTAAAAGTGTTCATCGAGTGTCGTCGTGACTGTTCAAACAAATGTAATCACAGTCTATTCGTCTACTTGGCCAATGAGGTAAGTGGTAAATAAACACTTTGTCGAACATTTGTTATTGATTTATTGTTCCCATACCTTGATCATACCAAGGTCCTTCATGGAATTTTAGTTCATTGGTCTAGGTACTTGACTTTCAACAAGTTGGTAGAATAATTTGGAGGTTTCTCCGGATTTATTTCTTGATTTCGAATCGGTATTCATCATGGACTGACACCAGTTAGAAAAACATTTTCAACCAGGGAACACCGGACACCTGTTTCATCCCAGTATGGGACTCCTCAGAAGTGCAAACTCATAAACCGGCCAGTCATCGAACGCAGGATCTTCAAGCTCTATGACAAGCACGTTATCATTGAGCCAGTGGGTTAGAATTGAATGGTCTACACTTCCTACTTGTCATTTTTCCATGTGACTTGACCTACATTCAACGCCGTCGTTGAGTATTTGTCCTTACCTATGACTATGTCCCCTCCCCAGTGGTTTCAACTTCTCATTACAACTATGGAAATCTCATTCCGAGGCAACTCAGTAATGAGTACTGAGTGGACGTTGCGAGGTATAATGAACTGACACAAGTAAGAAATACGAACCATCGGATTCCGACCACTGGCTTAATGGTAACGTCCTGGTCGCTGGACCTGAAGGCCCTGGAATTGATCACTGGTGGCATCATGGGTGTCCTATACTAGGATGAAATAGCTGCTCAGTGATACCACGTTTTCAATGATTCCCCAACTGACGTCAATGCATGATGAATGCTGACTTGAAATCAATATATAAGTCCACATAAAACTGCAAGTTGAATTCCCCAAATGATTATTGATTTTGTTACCTGTTCTAATACAGTGAGCCGACATTACACCATCAAGGGAATCACATTAACTGCGCACCTAAGTGTGTCCAAAAAATATCCAATCCTCCGTTGGTTAAGATAATTCCAAATTTACCTTAAATGTTTTCCTTTTAATCAGCAATTAGTTTTTTGGTACAGCATGAAACTATGATGTCTATTTCATAAATCACACAACTTATCAGATAGAAATTCCACATAGATATGCTTGTCATAAAATATTCAGGATCTTAGGCATTTATCTATCAGTGAACATGTTAAGAGTAGAAGTATGTTAATTTTCCCTATGAAATATACTACTGTTGAACAACTTGAATAGTTACAACCATTGAGGTAGATCTGTAGATTTCATTGGTCAGATTAGACTGATATGAACAACAGACAGCTGTTTCGCTGTTTGTTGTTCAGCAGTATATTTTACTAATTCATGGCAGTTTTGTTTTAGAGATCATTCCATATGATCTTCACTGAGAGGTAGTTTCCATCGGAAACTCTGTTATCAGAGTTGTGGGTTTGAAAAACTACTCAGCCATAAAGAAAGTCAACGTGTATAACACAATTTGTGCGCCATCAGCAAATGGACCACTCCACTTTTCTCTATGCCTAATTTACTGATACATTCAATAGTTTCCAGACGATATTCAAGAAAGAACTAGTAAGACTTTAAGTCAAATAAATTGTTCTTCAGTGGTAAATCAATTTGAAAGTTAGTTGCCAGCGTAATAGCCGTTGCTCTCAAAGTTACTTATGAACTATCATACCAACAGGTTAGCTAGCTGTATCAGATTGATTTGAACAATCTAGGTCAATAGAAATGGATATGACTAATTACACTACTAAAATGTTCTGTTACAAGCAAATGTGACCCTTCTATGGTGTTTGGAACACTAATTTTACTAATTAAATCTGCCTATCTATGTTGGACTTTTCTAGCCACTCATATTGTTAAACAGTCAACTTCACGAACTTCTAATTTCAAAACTTTTGCCATGAAGTAACTGACACCTATACTGAAGAAAGACATAATGAGACAGTAACTACTGGAATACGCTTGAACAGTATGGATAAGAAACTAATTTTTGAAACAAGTAAACATCAGTAGGATATGCGTTCTTTGTTTCGGGTCACGCTGTTCTCCTATATTGCTGGACTTGGAAGTATCTGATGATATTATGAAAGTTAAGACCAATTATGTGGTAAATTCTACAATGGTAGAACTTTAAAGCGATGTACATTCAGTACACGACTTTTGAAAGTGGTTCACCAACTTTTCTTTAAATATAACATAAGAACTAAATTGTAAAATAGTATTCTTTATAAGGTTAGTAGGCCATAGGACTACTTTGCTTCGACTAAACGAAACTTAGTCCTAATTTCCAGTGAATTCATAAACAACGTTATAGAGTAACTTCTAATGTTCCTTTATTATTTGATAATGCAGATTGATATGCGGCCTCTGCTAAAACTAACCAGTGAATAAATTCCAGGATTGATTTCATAAAAATCTACACGACAAATGGAAAGTTTTAAAAAATGGACAAATTTTTAGCAAGACTTTTTATGCTGAATAGAATTTATGAAATGAAAATTTTTTACCACTATTGAAAATGTTACCCCAGTACCTGAGGAATAACAAGAAACATTTGATTATGAGGACGAAACTTTAATTTAAACTAACTAAAATCGTAGAAAAACCTCGAATGGAACCATAAATTCCTAGTACCTAACAAACACGAATTAAAGCATACTGTCAGGCGAATCCTCTTCTAATTGCCTTGTATAACAAAGTAATTGTTGTGTTAAACTGTAAGATGAAGTATCATCATCTTCAACATCACCAAAGGACCAGGAAATAAAGCGTAACGGCCCAAACTGAAATACAACTAGGTCAACAGGAAAGGCAGTGGGGTGGAAGATGAAGAAAATAAAATTCAGTCAAAAGAAATATAAAGCATGAGGAGAATAAAACTAAAAATGGCAAAGTGGTGAGAACTTTCATAACATTCAGCTAAGGATAATGTGCGTATACATCTACGCCACTGACATCGAATCTAAGTCATATCGCCTAGAGTCTCCAACCACTGGTTCCTCTTGTCCCACTAACCCCAACCAAATAGTCTGCATCACCCCACACGGCTAAAACCAACAGTCACAGACTTCATACATTGGTGCCATGTTTTAGTCTGGCCAGCTAAAGCACTTTTCCAGCACGGAACTACATAGGCCAGCATTGTGTGACGAGGCATTCCACGACTAGGCATACTTAGTATGTGTCCCAACCATCTCAGTTCATGAAGGCTCATAACCTCGTCAAATGATTTGCCTCTACTCCCTAAAACTCTATACATGGCTTCTGCGTTACTCACGTGGTGACACCACAGAATATGACCTGTCTACGAAGGCAACGGTGGTCAAATAACTGAAGCCTTCTCATGTCTTCCATCTTCAATGGTCATTTTTCACAGCCATACAGCAGAACAGACCGGACTGCTGTGCAGTACACACCACTCTTGATAGACAATCGGATATCACGGCGGCGCCATGGGTGGTGTAAGTTGGCGAAAGCCAGTCGAAACTTTTGCATTCGTGCAGAGATTTCATCAGCCACTGAATGAACTGGCTACCAGGGTTGATCCCACTTCCCAGGTGGGTGAAGTGGTCAACACACTCAACCACTTCACTCTCTATTGTTAGTCACGGTGGGGCACCGTTGAAGATCAATCCTGGAGCAACAGTTTGCATTTGGTGGTGAGAAACCCATCCCTAACATTCTCAAATTCCCACTCAAGGTGTCTAGAAGACTCTGCATCTTGTCAGCATCTTCACCTAACAGGACTATGTCATCTACATATTCTAGGTTTAAAGAAAATTCTCCCGTGATTGCGTCAACCTCTGTGTAGTCAAATGACTAGGGGGAGTCAACCATAAGAATATCTAAGATAAAATTGAGTAAGAATGTAGAGAGTGGGCACCCTTCATGGACACCACTCGACCAGTACAACTTCCCGGACATCTCACCATTGGCTCTAACATGCCCACAAGTATTCGAGTAGAGAGCCTTCAATAAGGTGATGTACTTACCTGGCACCCCTTTCAGTGACACACATTGACATAAGACTTCTCGATCAATGGAGTGGAATGCCGCCGCCTTCAGGTTGAGAAATACAGTTGTTGTCGGTCGTCGGTAAGTGTGTCTGTGTTCCAAAACCTGGCGCAGTGTGAATATTTGGTCGATACACCCGCAACCGGGTCTAAAGCCTGCCTGTCTGGTTTTCTCGGGCTTCCTGTTCCCGAGCTCCACTCAGGAGTCGAAGAATTATAGAACCTAGGATCTTGGACACTATGTTCGTCAGGCTGATTTCTCTGTGGTTATCATAAGAGGACTTCTCGTCTTTCTTGAAGATTGGAATAATCAGTGATTTAGACCAGTCAGAGGGAATCAGATTTCATCCCCGTATATACTGGTTAACACTTCAGTTAACCTAAAAGAACTCCACCACCATCACATTGTATACCTCAGGTCTTAGTCCATCTGGTCCTGCCACCCTTTCTCGTCTCAAGTTACCTACAGCTTTCTCGACTTCTCCTGGTGTTCGGGGGCCTATCTCAATGTTCCATTCAGGACGCAACTGGATAGCGGTCAACATAATGGTGGCTGGAGGCCAGTTGAACTGTTTCTCGAAGTGATCTGCCCATCGTTCCAGTCGTCTCCCCTGTGAGTGAATTACAGACCCGTCTTTCTCCACCATAGTCTCACTAACCGTTGTTGACCTTCCCTCCCACCCCCCACCCCCAAGTTCCCTTAATAAGTCTACTGTTACAATCTTTGCAGCCTTTTCCATCTCCGCAGCCTTCGCTGCCCACCACCGTTAGCCATCCTTGTGTAGACTTTTTCTCAATCTACTTTTAAGCTGTGCCCGCTCTTCATTGTACTCAGAGCCTGCAGGCAGGCATGCGTTCATGTGCATCCATTAGTTTGGAAGAGGCTGCTGATATACACTTACTCCCTTTAGCCACTCTTTAACAGTCGGCTATGGTCTTCAACACTGCTTTTACAGCAGACTGGAGATGGCACCAAGCTTCTTCTGAATGAGTGACAGTATTTTGTTCCGATAACTGCCTAGCCAACTTCTCACTGAACACGGCTTTGGTGTTTCCGTTTTCCAGCAGCACTCGTAGTGGTTTTGTTGCCGAATTTCCCTTACGTCCATTGAGACGCAGGCATATACGCACTCGGACCAACGTGTGGTCGCTATCCAAGTACATACTCCAGAAGGAGCGACAGACTTCCACCGATCCTCTCCAGAGATGACTAATAGCAACGTGATCTATCTGTGTTTATCGCTGGGTTGAGCTTGGTGGACGCCACATCAGACAGTATTTTTATGTCTGAAATTTGTGCTAGCTAAAAATAGACGGTTATCTGAGGATAGTTGTAGTAGGCGACCACCGTTATCTGTTCCTTGAGCTAGGACTCTGGAAGTGCCACTTAAGTGCCTTTCTGCCTCACTCAGTCTATCTGCCACAACCACCACGTCCGAACGTTTGGGTTTCAAAAGGAGGCTAGACAGTTTACGGTAGAACTCGTCCTTCACTTCAACAGAACTGCAGTCGGTGGGTGTTTAAGCAACTACAAAGAGACAACAGCGAGTCTCACTATTCCTTTCAGTTCTCACTGTGCCGTTCAGTCCGCCATCGCAGAGTCAACTATCAACTGGGATCCAGTCTAATAGTGAGTTTTCTACCCTAGTGCTTAAAGCTATGTCTGCACCTGCAAGACCACGAGAGCTAGCCATCGAATCTCCAGAAACTCGAAGGGTGAATTTTGCACATTCACCAGACTGCCCGGGAGAGGTCAGGTGAATAACCACACTTGGCTCCTATGTGCGTGTCTCACAAATACAGCACACATCCATGCCCCGAGTTGCTAGAGTCTTTGCCAACGAAGCCTGTTGACCAATTTGACAGAGTTCGGACACTGAAGGCTCCCATATGTAATTTCGAGCTTGGTTTAAGGAGACCAATGATACTGTTTTGTGGACTCAGATCGTTGTCGAAGACTACAGAGCTAGGAGAAATTGAGGATGATGTAGCATCTTTAGTTGAGAGACGTAAAGGAAGACTAGAAGCTGGTGATGGGGAGGTGGACAGCAGTTTGAATAAACTTGAGTGCTGACAAAATTTTGAGGGCACTTGACACTTCCCGGTTGCCCACACGTGGAAGGCTATTTTCTTCTTAAGGTACCTGAAAGAGATTTGTGTGACCGCCGAGCCCATCGGACATCTGCTTGAGGCCTGTCACACGGAGCCTTTTGAGTATGATTATTTTAAATTTTTGTAGTTTTAGGGCCAGATGGCCAAAAGGAAACGACAAATGAACCAACACAGCCGGCTCGGCAGACCGTGGGGCAAAGTGGAGTGTGTTATTTTTGGGGGGCCGACCTTTTCTAACCTCCCCCCTTCCACTGAGAAGATAGCATCAGTATGGCACTGCTGATCATCCAAGGGAAACACCTTATTGCTGTCACACCACATCCAGCTAGCAGCAGTACGACTTCACCCTCAGACCCCTATCATAGTGTAGTAATTTATACCACAACGGTAACTGCTTTTCTTCTAATCGTTATCCAACAGACCTTTCTGGTATGGTAGGACCTCGAAAAAATAAGCGTTTCACCAGCATAGCTCGCTGGGTCATTTTGATATGCTAGCCCGACCACCACGTCAAGGTAGCAGCTGTTTGTCGGGATGGAGCTGGTCGACGAGATTAAACTTTTGATGAACTAACCCCAAAAATAACTGTTACCTTCTTTTTTAATTGTCGTACACCGAATGCGTCATTTTTAAGGTTAATGCCATCGAACTATGGGGTGATTTTAATGGCCACCCTAGCAACAACTGATATGACCAATCAGACCTCTCAATTTTGTGAAAATACGACTCTCCAACCGAAATAAATGAACCTAATTGGTTATTTCGATTGTTGCTAGAGTGGCGTTTAAAGCCGATCAAATTATGCACACCTTGAGCAACAAACATCTGCACAATCCTATCAGTTCTCAAGGAAACGAAAAGAACACTTAGTTATTTACTGTCACTAATAATGGAAGAGATTTGTGGCTTATGATGATGATGATGGTTTGGTGTTCTCTGAGCATTTAGATTTTGTCGAGAACCTTTCATCACCAGGCATGGTGATACTCTCAGCACTAACTTCACAAAACTTCACCAAGTGGGGTGATGAAACGTCCATGACAAAATATGATATCTCAGAGAACACTAAAGCACTATTACTGTCGGTAATAGTCATATATATTTCCGAACCACCTCACGTCATTCATTTGTATCAGTAAACTAATTATGTAATTTATTTGGTTGTGGTTAGCAGAGGAATCCAGGAAGCGCTTTCCGTCCTATTTGGGACTTATCAGCTCGGTGTAATTGCGCCCCCACTGAAATATTCTTCTCATCTAGACTCAAACCTCGTACCCATCACTTCAAACTCCAAGGCATTGTCGACTAGGTCACGGAGGCACGACAACCACTTCTTGTACAACGAGTATCAGTTATTACTATTTATTGACATAATTAACATTTGGGCAATATTGAGGCATCCACGTAGGAGCTCATATGTCAATAGTGTTGAAAAATCTCATTCAGAAGTAGTATTCAAGTATCTCAAGCATTTTTTCCTGAAACAGTTTGATTCTATACACTGAACTACAAGTAAATGTCAAAAATAAGTGAGTTTTCCAACTAAATGCATTATATTTATTCTATTTCAGAATGAGTGTTACACTTGCTTAATCGAGTGTATGTCCGCGTTCACACAACAGGCGGAAAAAGTTGGCGTAAGTTAACTTTGTCACTGTTAAAATGTTTGTAATCATTAATCATTGAAAACTAAAGTGGTTATCTGCAAATAATAAAAAAAAAACAATCTGAACGAAGAATTCTCTTTCGATAAATTCTTATTAGGTTCTACAATTATAAAATACATCTGTACAGTGTTTAAAACAAGCCAAGTCAAAGGTGGATACATTTTCAAAATGGAATGAGAATTAAAGACGAAAGAAATTGGTTTTTCGTTTTTCTTTTGTCAAAATACCGGTAGCCTTCTAAACTATAGGCTACCAACAATTTTCCACCGAATTTATTTTATCAAATTCTTTCCTTTCAATTAGTTTTAATCTTTCACATTCGTTTTTTAAACGCGAAATGTACTTTTGTACAAATTTAAAATGGTTTTAAACTGCCATTTCTCAACAGTATATAGTATATCATTATTCCATGGATAACTATACCGAATTAGAGATTTTGGTACTGGTAATACCACTACTACCACCACCACCAAAACTACACTCGATGTTCCATCCATTCACTAGACCAAACTAGACACTTATGTAACCCCACGTCCCTGTTTTATATTGTGGCTTATATTACTGCTAATATAAACATTATTCAAATGCAATGACTATTTCGCTTAAAGATATTGAACAGTGAATGAATGAGCTCAAGAATTACATATTCAGAACCCTATACTGTACCACGCATGTTGTTCCAAACAAAAAAACCATCATTATTATATCAACAATTCTCAGTATTATCATCATCAATATTCACATGTACAGATATCCAACATGATTTTAAACAAAAAGATAACCAATGCGAAAGACAATAATAGTGTGAATTTCCTTCCCACGAAAATCGGAACCAAAGCGAACAACAGGCTTTTCAACAATAAACCAAACGTCCGAGTTATGCGTAAAATCCAAAACATAGGATTTGCCTGAAATACAGTTCTATATTAATAAACAATATTGAGCAATAAAACACAAACTTCAAATAGTGAGGTATCTGCGGGTTTATCGCTTTCAAAGCACTTGCAAAGAGTGCGTCAACAGTAAAAACAGAAAGGCTACGTCCAAGCAACCAGAAGGGAGTATAAAACACGCGGATTAGTTTTCATGATTAGGTAAAGATGCAACATGAACAATTGTTCAAGTTGAAATAGAACAACGGGGAACAAGGAAAGAAATTAAACGAGCATCATGAATTATGAAAAATACTGATATCTATGGATGTTAAATGTAGGACAAGATACAATGGGACAGAAAAAACGGTCAAGACTGTGTGCGAAGTGGCATTATAAAGAAACAAGACCCATACTACTAAAATGTATTTAGAAGTATAAAACTGAAAATAAAAAGGTGAAGGAAAAAGGAACATTTCACAGAGTAAACGAAAGCAGGTAAAAAAGGGATTTTCAGTTGGCTTTTAATTTGCTTAAGGTGTGGGGAAGAATAACACCTGACCATGTCCCTTATGAATGCAAAAATCAGGTTTGATCGGTCTTACTGCGATAGTTTCGGCTGTTTTGAGCAGTTTTTGACAGGGTGACAATGGTACTAACTGCATGACGGAAAATCTTTAATAACGTCTCTCTGGTGCCCTGTATTTATTACGTGCAATAAATTTTCGCCACCTTCACTGCACCTTTTTTACACCAAGCAGGTAAATGATGTCGTATCTGGAGAGGCACCTGCCTAATTGTGTGCGCTATGTAACTTGTTACATAGGGATAGTTAAATTGATGTATGCAAGATGAAGAGCAAAGATTCTATAGGCCAGGTGATTGGCGTTGAGGAGTGATCCCACTGTTTCCGAATAAACATTATTCGTCTCAGCCTGTTTACGTCACAAGCATCAATAAGAAGCTTTTGCCGTTAAAGCAGTGTTCACCATGAAATGACTTCGGTAAGAGAACCATTGTAAACCCTGAACAGCTGTTTCGTCCTGGTATGGAACTCCTCAGCAGTATGCAACCACGACTTCACCAGGGATCGGACTCATGACCTCCAGGTTTCACGGGGAACTTCGCGACAGGGTGTGAAAATCATACGAGTTCCTCAGATACCATTCACTTCGACTGGCTGACCTAGCAAGTCATGGCTTCTCACTAGAACATCGAGATATTCATATGGAATCATGTCACCAATTAGCATTATACGGTGATGTATTTCAAGGTTGGTCGTTTTATTTTTGAAGCTAGTGAGTCGACGAAAAGATCATTATCTTCCCTGCAATGTCTTTTTATTTTTCGAAGAAAATATTAGTTATCTGTGAAGAAAATGTGAATTGTTTTATCAGCTTTTTTCAAGGAGCAGAACAGTCAGGGAAAAAAGGTGTAGCTCTGAAAGTTTACTGCTAATTTGGGAGATAATCTGATCGAAGCAGTGACAGCAGTGGTATCAGCCGTAGTTTACACACCGATCATACAGACTCTTCAGCACAAATAACTAGATAGTCTTTATTAACCATGAAAAGGGATATATGACTACATCAACTTACGGAACGTATTACTGACTGGATCAAATATCAATCTAATATAACAGTTTACTGGTTTATATTACTTCATATATAAAGTAGAAAGGTGAATTAAGAACAGGAATAAAAGGAACGGGTGGTAAGCTGTAAAAGTGAATATGGCTTTTGTGCCAGTTTACCTGATAGTTCACCCCTGACAAACATCAGATTGCTAATATATATTGCGGATCAAAGCCTTGGAACATTGAACACCTGTTTCATCTTAAGACAGGACCCATCAGCAGTCTACACCCACGACCCTGTGATTCTCCAACTGATACCAGTTCGTTATGAGTATCGCATTAAAATAAATCGACCCCCAGAACCTTCAGATCGATTGACATATATTCACTTAATTTTTGCAGATCCGATCGCGAATAACGAGCAATAATAATAATAGATCAGTATCCATAATATGAAGTACGTCAAATGTTCGATTGAGACTTAATGCACCAAGGGTGTTCAGATTTATGCCCACGAAAGACCAACAGCTGAGTGTTTAAATAACCGAAGCACGATTTAATTAGGACTATGTATGCAGTCTTGAGGGGGATACGCTGGACTGCGGAAAAGAACCTAGAAGACTTGGATTTCGCCGATGACTTGTGCCTGATGTCACATAAACTTGAAGATCTACAGGCAAAAACTAACAAGTTGACAGAAGAGGCAGCGAAGGAAGACGAGACTTCAAGTGAATATAGAGAAGACAGAGGTGATGAAGATACCGCACCAACAACAACAACAACAAACTCCAGTCACCATCAACGGGAGAAACTTAAAGGAAGTAACCTCCTTCACCTACACCTATCTAGGAGGCACTGTTTCAACTACAGACGCCACAGGCACAGATGAGGACGTCAAAGCCAGCCAGGATCGGAAAAACAGCAAGACAGGCGTTCATTAGCCTGAAACCAGTGTGGAGATCTTCTGCACTCAGCATGTGGAACAAGATACGGATTTTCAACACCAACCCAGTTAAGTCAGTGCTTCTGTATGGCTCAGAGACTTGGCGTGTTACGAAAGGGATTTCCAATAAACTACAGACATTCATCAACAACTGCTTACACTGGCTCGCTACTGAAGATCAGATGGATTGCCAGAAAGAATAAGCAACAAGGAACTCTGGGAACGAACCAACCAAGAACCTATCACGCAACAAATATGCACTGGATGGAAGTGGAGATGGATTGGGCATACACTGAGAAGGCCGACTGGGGACATCACGCGTCAGGCCAGGCCCTCGAGTGGAATCCCCATGGGAAGCGACGGGTTGGATGTCCGAGGGTGACATGGAGGAAGGAGGTCGTGCGAGGAGGAAATGAGAGCTTGTGGGCTGTCATGGAGCCAGGTTCAAAAGATCTCAGAGAACAGAGGTGACTAGAGACGTGCTACTGAAGCCCTATGTTCCATTAGGAACCCAAGGGACTAATAATAATAATAATGTATGCAGTCTTGGTATTCTTCATGGACTGAGATCGGTTGGACAAAGCTTACACAGTTATACGAGATGCAACATTTATGTAACGTAGTTGGTATGCATTTTATACACACAATATTGTCATTTTTGAAATATTTTACCTTCATCGTTACCTACTGATCAATTTAGTTTTCAGTTGTGCGTCACATTTAGACCTAAAAAGACACTTAGAGATGGCCTTTGTTGACTTAAGGATCCGATAATTTATTTTACTAAATTCCATGAAACTAGCAAGTTTGGGTCATTGAAACTGGCGAAACATGGGAATTTGGTCACATATAGAATGACGGACCCGAATAAGAGCAATGATCTGAAAAGAGAACTCGGGTATTGCAATGCATGCATTAACACGATCACACAATAGGGGATGGGTTAAAACCACTGTACTCAAGTCTAATACAAACAGGTGAAGAGTGAAGTTGATTGCTGGATGTTTGTTCATCGAATCAGCCAACATCTAACACATATCATAGGAATGGTGCAACAACCATACTAGGGATAGGAAAAAATTTTACTACCAAAAAAACAAAGAATATAAGGCGGGTGATAAGACCGTAGGAATCGGATGTCAGGTGCAATATAATTAAGTCGATATGATCATACACAGTGATAATTTATCCTCAAAAATTCATCAAATAGATAACACTGTACCACTCACTGTGCTTTATCAAATGAACAAATCTTTTACAGAACAAGCAGACGACCTCTTCCAACAGTCTTATGTTGCGTAAAAGATATTCTTTACACACAAATGTATCTACATATATATGTAGTAATCGTCAATATACTTTTCTTTTGAAACAAACAGATTCAGCTGAAGGATATAAAGAAGTCAACTGATGTCAATCTACTATCAGATAGTCTTTATGCACCTGGGAAGAAAGTGAGACGGCGACATCTACGCCAGGATTTCATCACACAAGACCAATTTAGAAAAAGAACAGAGTAAAGAATGAAATGATGGATAAATTTAGATGCATGGCGCTGATATCATGAGAATTATCTATATTGATGCACGAAACGACAATTCGATAAATTAATCATATTGCCATCATTAATGAGCACTACCTTCACGATCAAATTATAAAATTCTCTCACTGAACCCAATTTTGATTTTGATAAAATGACTTCAATTATTATAGATATTATTGCTGAACTCTCATACTGTTCTAATCACACTGCCTTTTTATCAGTTTCAACAGCTGTTAGTCATCTTTTCCATTAAAAAAAAGTTTTATTTCCTCAACACACTTTAAAAATATCTGTCATCAAAGCGTGGATGATACTTACAAATTTTTACCTTTAAAATGCATCAAACTTTGTAATACCCCCCTCTTATATTTTATTTGAAAAATATGCAAAATTGCAATTTTTTGGTTGGTTTATACGGTTAGAAGCCAGTCAAAATCTATTGTCAATAATAATATTTATTTCTGAATATACAGGCAGACACCATTTTTACAGTTATGACTAAATGACACTTACCTTTAAGGCAGGTAATCTCAATCCTCACTTATTACTACTAGAAGACATAAGTGCTTCATAAATAAATATTTTACTTTCACATTAAGCATTAGAGAAGCCAGTCTACATGCATCATTACATTGATATTGAAAAGTCTACAAGATTTTACGAGTCCTAAATGGTATAGAGGGTGTGCCATTAAACTCTATTGAAAACATGGGAAGATAGTGCTAGTTATGAAATGGACAAGAAGATATCACTTTTCAGCATACACGGAGTGTTACAGTTTAGATAATAATAACTCTTGTTCTCATATAATGGATTCAATATGAGAGATACCATTTTACAAGCATCGTCAAACTGGTAACTCTTGAAAGTTTTTAAACGATATTCGGTATTAGATAATTCACTCACCAAATCACTGAGGTCTATATTCTTATTAAAACTTGATGTAATTTATGAGGCAGGCATGGATTTTCATCTCCCATCACACAGATAGGTTCCACTATTAGAAAAAAAGCGCAGATGTTTGTATAATGGAACATCTCAGCAGGATAAGTATGCAAAAATTTGCAGGTTGGACAGGTTGAAGTATTATTTTTGCATCAACAAAAAATCCGGTTTCTATGTGGACATTACTTGAAGAAAAATAAAGCTTGAAGCTAAAACTTCCATTGTAACAGCTTTTACCTTTTGTTTGGAACAGTGATGGAAAGGGTATGAGAGAATGATGAACACCACCTGAAAATTAAAATCCCCATTAACCCTGAAATACATAATCTTATAGTACTTATTGGTAACATGCTTTAAGATGGACAACTCGACGTTCCAATGAGAAACCATAACTTGTCAAACCAACTAGTTAGAAGGGAAGAGGAAGCCAGCTGAGGAACTTTTGCGGATTGTCACACCATATCGCGAAATGACGCAGGCAGAAAACTATTGGCCATTGAACTCCGACCGAGTGGTTGAATGGTCAGAGAGTTTTCCTTGAGACCTGAAGGTCATGAGTACGGTCCCTGGTGATGTCGCAGGTGCATACCCCTGGGGAGTTCCATGCCAGGACGAAACGGCTGTTCAGTGTTACAGCGTTTTTAATGGTTCTTTTACCGATGTCAGTTCGGGATGAATGCTACCTCAAAATTTATTCCGTGGCTCTAATTATCCCGCCGTTGACTGGAGCAAATTGACCGGTCTGTATTGGCATATGGGCGTTTGAGACGATGTCTCCATACTACCTATATTTTCAATCTTGACATTCACGATGCACAAAGGCTAGCAGTGGGATCTAGGCCGTGCATTTTGTCCTATTTGAGATGCATCAGCTGAACGTACCAGCTTCCTAAGAAGCGATGTTGTTTCAACCAAGACTGTAACCTTTCAACTGTAGTTTTACCAAGTAAAGAAATAGAAGCTATACCCGCCGCACACAAGTAGTTATCATGACTCGGTGGCTTGATGGGTAACGCCGCGGCATTTGCAGTTATCGGTTGTGGGTCCGAGTCTCAGTCGGAGCAACATTGCTTAGTAGTGGCCAGGTCGAACCAGTGACGAGTCACAAAAGGGACAAAACGTGTTTCCTGGACCCCACTGCTAGTCATTATTATCCATTGCCGGTATTGGTTAGAACGTTCCTCTACAAATTTTGTTACTGAATTTCTATGCGGCTTTTATCTTTGATACAACTGTAAGCGTATTACTGCGTTCGAAAACCCATCCACTCTCTCGCTTTTGTGTCATATAAGGTAATAATAATAATAATAATAATAATAATAATAATAATATTCATTCCTAAATATACAGGCATACACCATTTTTACAGGTATGAATAAGTTTATACATAAATTACACGTATCTTCGCGTAAGGTAATCTCAATCCCTACCCGTTGTCACTAGAAGATATAAGTGCTGCATGTTCATATAATGGAACATCCCAGCAGAATAAGTGTGCAGAAAATTTACAAGTTGGACAAGTGGAATTGTTGTCTTCGCATTAACCAAAAAAGCCAGGTTTGTATCTAGACATTACAGGTATAACCTGGAGAAAGATAAAGCTTAAAGCTAGTACTTCCATTGCAATAGTTTGTACTTTTTGCTTGAGATAATGATGAAAAGTTTATGAAGGAGGAATGTATGCACGGATTGTTTACATATTGTACTTCACTGATGGTTCCAGGACTGTATAATTCATGCATATTAATACCATTCCACGACAAAGATTCATAGTCTTGATGAATATTATGACTGAAAGCCAAATATCCTCACTTCTCCAACTCCAGCATCCAGAAGAACGTATAGAATTAGAAATTGTAGTTTATCATATTGCGACCAGCACTCTTTTTACCATGCTGGGAAATGCATCTCTCGCCAGAGAGATTATATGTGTTCATGTGTTGACATCTAGAAGTAAGCATGCCACAAAACGGGAACACTTTAAGACCCTACCTTGCTGAAGTGTCAATTGAAAGAGGCCCCTGAATGATGAGGTACTGTGAAGCGCGTAAACGGTCAAGAGGTATCTCTGCAGGTGGCTGCCGTGGGCAATAGATCGTATCACAAACTGAAAGGGCCTCAACTGTAAGTCCATTTATCTATCCGAAACCCCCTGATTCCAAGATGGAGAGCTTGTGGATGAGAGCTAGGGAGCAGGTGCTTTTTAAGCTGCAAACGTCAGTGACGCGTAGAACAAAGACAAAGGGACCTAATATACAGCTTTGAAATGCAACGGATGTAATCAAGACAGGTTTCAAAACGTATGAGTCTTCCTTTATTACTCTATTGTGACTACCAAGAGAAGATCCAATCCATTCTAATACTGATGCCCAATTCATACGGACTACAACTTAATTAGTAACACCAATTGGCTAATCCCTTTCAAATCTCATTCAAAATGTTGAAATGAAGCACGAAGTCTGATTCATGTCGGTCAGGCAAGAATTGGCCTAATTCCTAGAGGGCATCTGGCCGACTCAGAGTATGAAGACGACATTGACCTGCTGGGTGAAGACACTGACAAAAATGCAGGCCCATCTAGACACCTTAACCGGAAATTTCAGCATTCTTTGAGTTCGTCTTGCACTTGTCAGATGCTATGCGATGCTTCACCGCGAGTTAACATTTACCCTTGTAAAAGGCCTAGCGATGGAATGGCGGATCCCATTGATCACTTCACATATATGAGCAGTTACACGCATGAAAGAGGCTGATTGCAGGCCAGACCTCCTCAGTGCAGAAGACCCGTGCACTAGCTGCATACCTGTTTCATCCTTAGAGTCAAATGGGGAAATATCCCACTACCTGTCAGAGGACAGGAACGCTGCACTGTAGTTCATGTTGTCTGATAATGCGGTCGTGAGACACCGTCGTTGAATCCAGAAGACATTAGGAAAATATGTGATGTTGATCATAGTTGTCTTTATAGCATCGCTGGCGTATGGCAGAATCACCGTGTCAGCAAAGGGGGCAGGGAAGAAAAGCAAATCAGTCTATGAAGTTGTGCACCTTCAGCGGCTTTGGTGATCTGGAAATAAGCTGCACTGAGAATGCCAAGCCACCCTCTGCCTCAAAGGGCAACACTACGAGAAGTTGAGTTAGACTGGGAGAAGGCTCGGGGTGACCATACTAAGACTTGATACCGGTCCATGAAGTCTTTGGCTCCTGGTCTGGAATGCATGAGGGGCACAAATGGCCAGGTTAAGGAGCTAGATACGGTGGGGATAGGCGGTTGGAATCTCTCGATAGTATGGCCGAAAATCAGCCACGACCGCGCAGATAAATTCACTTTTCGAAATCTTCAAGGCCTCGAAAACCTTCCCCAACCTGTGTCTTCAAATATTATATTTTCTCATACACCTCTGTCTACTTTGGTGTCATTCATTTTGTATCCATCTGGGCTTTGTGTGCTGCTGCCAAGTGCGGCAGCCTAAATCAACGCACATTTGAACAAGAGTCTGTGTCTATTTTGTTTGCTTGTCTGTTGGTCGCACCGGATACCCTGATAGTATTTCTGTGTCATTTTTCACCTTATAGTGCCTGGTTTTATGTTGTGCAGAGTTGACAAATGAAGGCCCATTCAGAATAGCCGATTCCAACAAACAGGCAGCATATATACTCATACAGTCAGCGGGCGGTCACTTCATTCTTTCTATCTTCCGACTCCTTCTGTTGGGATTAGATAGAGATTATTGACCGTCCGTCAGAACAAAACGCGAATATCGGGTCAGTGGCTAGCTTGAAAGGCTCCTAGTTTCAACTGTAACTCACATTCTTTAGTGTGATTCACGGAGAACTGGTAATACTCTGATAGCTTAACTAACGCAAAAAGTGTTAGTAGTTCTGTTGGTATCGCATTAATCTTTATGCAGTAGGTGGTGAGACACCAAAATTCCTGCTATCATCCGCTCTGCAAGTACATTACTGTATTATTCATTCCATATTCAATGTGTGACAAATTATATAGTAATACACTCCCTGAACAGAATGAAACTCGACCAAACAGTACTCACCATACGGTTACTACGCCGTTGTTTAAGGGTGTAACGTCACACACTTCCCCAAAATCAATAGCCTAGGGTTTGACGACTTTCGACGTTGATACTGACCTTGATGGTTTTACCGAACTCGCTAAGCTGAAAGCACCTGGTCAAGCATCCTCGCCACTTGACACGCTGTCGTGTCACGTTAAACTGCTCGTATTCGACCCTCTAACCTGTGAGTTTGAACGCATCGGTATCTTGGCGCAACCACCCAAATATACTATTTCATCCGACTACGCAATCGTGTTCTTCCTTGGTCCCGTATTCGTGGGTATATAACAAGTTCGAATAATTAGTGATTGGTCTTTGCGTCTGTCAAGTTCGCACCAGGACAAATCCTAATTGATGAGCCCGACGTGATCACATATCCTGACCAATAACAAATATTGAATTGGTGGGCCTGTTCCATTTTATATTTGTATATTGTTTTCATTTCGATAACATTTA